AAAACAGGTAACAACACAGTACATTTGTGTTTTTACTGAACGATGCCAATGATGTGTTTTTAGAGAAAATTGTCCTGCAGAAATCGAAGCATACTACATCAACATCTCACATGTAAACCCATAAATAATAAAAAAATTAGCCCACTGACATTTCTACCAAACAATGTTCAAATGGAACTCAGTACATTTTTTTGTCTTTCATTCTTTGCTGATAAAATCCCAAGTTTACCAGTTCACTGTTTGCTAGTGCTGATGCTAGGTGACCCGTCTTCAATTCTGTTATCACATCTGCTCTTTTAGAGGCTGAAATTACTTTGGCACACCTTTCATTCTTTGAAATTCTTTTCCAAACTGTAATTAAAAGTAGTATTTGCAGTTCAAAGAGTTGAATCTCTGCTGCTAAAAGCACGCCAAAGTCCCTAGCTCAGATCATGCATAGTAATGTAAAGCCCCACTGTTAAGCATTAGCTCTCTTTAAAGCAGGTTGTCTACAGCCACACTACATAGCATTTTGTCATGGGGCACTGTTGATTCTTAGGTTATTTTCATTTTTTGTGCTTTTTCTTTTAATTTAAAGTATATTCAAATGAGGGCTACAGGCCTTCTATAGCATGAAACTACGAGCATGCAAAAGTAGACGGGAGTGTTTGAAGGTGAAAAGCATTGGGGAAGAATGGAAGGACCCAATGTGGCGCAGCCTGCTGGTAGCAGTCCCTGGAGTAAAGTGTGCCCATAACAGCATTCAAGTTCATCTCAGAGAGAGCTAGTTGACTGAATCAAAAAGCGAGTCTAGGACTGAACCAGTATTTGCTCAGCTGGATATCAGCAGGTGGGAATGAACATTAGCTGACAAATATACACATATTTTTCATGGATACAGACCTATTAGGTCAAGTGTCTTGGCCTGATCATCATCCAGGTTTTTTTTAAACAGATTTCTTTTTTTGTTAACATAATTGCCCAAGAAACAAAAACTCCCTAATGTTAAGATGGAGACTTCAGGATCATGTTTGTCTTCTTTTCTAGTACTCTACAACCTCCTGTAAAGTTATTTTCTTACTGAAGTTTATATTTCTAAAATGTAATTATACAAGTGTCAGGGATCCTGATGGTTAGCTAGAATGCCATGCTCTCTGCAGGACTAGATTCATGATTGTGCTTAACCTCTCACAGCTGTGCTATATGCGACACTAGAGATACTCATCGTAAGAATGAGAAACTGTGAGTAGTAGGCAGGACTGCACTTTATTCACAATCACTAAAAGAAACGGGAATAAACAGCCAGTTCCTGCCATAGGTCACCAGTGGCACTCTGCAGGGTCTTTGCTAGTTCGTGTACTGCTTGACCTATTCATAATTAACCTCAAAAATGGGACAAAGCAACAAAATTTGCCAACAATAAAGTTAGCAAGGGTAGTAAGACTACTGGCAAACTGCAAAGAACCGCAGCAAGACATGTAAGACTGATCACGAAATAAAATAGCAGATGCAATTCAGGACACATAAATAAAAAGTTATACACATGGAGTTAAACAACCATAGTTTCACATATGAAACAACAGCCTCTGAGCTTATCATTACCACTCAAGAGTGAGATTCTGTGGTTATGATAGATGATGCCATGAAAACAACTCAGTGCTCAGTTCAAATTAAAGCAGCAAGTCAAATATTAGGAATTACTAGGAAAGGAATAAAGAACAAGAAAGTAAACAAACAGGCCAGTAGTTAACTACACGGCTAATGCTCCATGCAGTTCTGACTCCTTCTCAGAAAATAATATATGAGACCCAGAAAAGTTTTAGGGGTCAGCAAATACAGAAGCTATTCCATGCCTTTGGTCAGCCAATGAATATTTTCACTACCGCATTTCAGTTTAGAAGAAGAAATTTAAAGGTGAATGCTATATATCTTCAGAACCATGACTGGCACAAGCATGGTAAGTAAAAGTTTACTGCGCAGGGAACGTTAAATTAAGCTAGTAAAAATCAGGTTCAAAATAAACAAGCAGCAGCGATTCTTTATGCAACGGAGACTGATAAAGGCTGCTGTTATTCAGGAAGTGTATATAGTGCAAGGGAAATTGGACAAGTACTGGAAAAAGCAGCATTGGGGATTACTAAATAGACAAACCATACGGTGTTCAGGAAAGCCTGGAATAGAAGACACTTGGAAGCCAGGAGAACACAGAAGGAAAAGAACCAAATGTGCTCACATTGTTCTTATCCTTCCTCAGACAGCTGCTTTTGACTACAAAAGAGGCTATTGTGTTAGAAAAACCTTTGGTCAGGACCTGTATAGCTATTCCTATGCTTACCTTTTCAAGAGTTCCAAGAGCATGTAAGTAAGGAGCCCAGAGGAAAAGCACATGCTGTTTGCTTGGCTTTTAACATTAGTTAAAAGTGTAGTAGGTGGCCGTGGGTGTTACAAATGCAGCCAAGGCTTCTCAGCCATCAGCACTAAATCTGAGCACTCACGTTCATAATAAAGTGATAGACTTATTTTACAGCACAGAAGTATTTCCAGTATGAAACTTCCTACCAGAGGGGTTTTCTTCCTTTTTATTTTACCAGGAGAAAAAATATTTCTTGTATTTTTTCTGGATGGTACCCCAAATCAAAAGTGATCAGGAGTTCTGTTACACCAAATCCCAAACAAATTTGTTTCACACAGTATTTTGAAAGAAACTTTGCCAAGGCGGTTGAGGAAAAGTATGTAGAGTTTCCAGGTAACCACAGAACTGCCAGTTTTATGTACCAACATATCCTTTCTGCTTTCAGCCCAAATATGTTAAGTATTCAACCTTAAGGTTCGTATTTAATCTCAGAAATACGAACTATTAAGTATAACCAATGTCACTATTTAGTTCCATGTAATAATGAAACTGATGCATTTTTAGTTTTATATACATCAGATGGGGGTTCTGAACATCAAAAACATGCCCTGCTTCTATAATTCTGCATGACAAACAGTCTACCAGCAAATGTTTAAGGGCATAAAACCAGTAAGCTTATTGATTGTAAAATGGTAGGCGCAACTTGCTGGACAGATCAAGAATTATACATAAATAGTTCTCATATTGCATTTGCAAGCTGGTTTTAAGAATTTCAAGGACATAGAACCAAAACTGAAATCAATCCAGAAAGTTAGAAAAAACCTGGAAATACATAAATGCAAAGTAATCAGAGTGACATTCAAGGGAAGTCATCAGAATTCCTGTACGCCCAAAGATCTGGTAATGGAGGAAAAAGAAAAGCACCAGCAGAAACACACACTAAGATTTTGTAATTATTTGGGGCACATTTCCTATAGTTTATAGAAAACATTCAGCATTTGAAGTTCCACAAGTGAGAACACAGACTTAGATGTGACTCCTGAAAACAGGAAGAATGCTCCCCAGCCTTTTCTCATCTTTGAGATGTGGCACCAAGTCTAGATAAAATTAAATAAAAGAGCTAACTACTAATTGCTGTTGATCTGACCTGGTGTTTTCATGATGTTTTACTGACTTCTCAGACTTCCTAGAATACATTTAATTGTTGATATCTTTCCATACTAGGGACACCTTCATATTTTTTTTAAAAAAATGTTTTTAAAGAAAACATTACACTTGGTATTCAAAAGTTAAAAATCTGAAGTTACAACAGCAATTTACAAATGATTTTAAGTGTTCATGAGCGAGCAAAATGATACCACTTAAAAGTCTAACAGCTTGGTTATCCAGAAGTTTTCAAAGCATCCACCTGGAATGATTTTTTGGCCAGGCTAACTGGAAATAATGGTGATTCACTAAAATATTTTTCTATTCTCTCTGCAAGCAATATGTAGTATTTACCTTCCTTGATTGATTTTTTGTAGAGCTATGATGTAGAGTGCACACAATGTAAACTTTTTCTCTGCACAAATATAACATTTGGCTTAACTAAGATTCAAGGTTCATTTCCAAATGTGTTCCACCCTATTAACCTTGGAGGTTACTTTAGGCCCCATTAACACTACACCTTGAAACCATGCCAACAAAAAAAAAATCAAGAAAGCTTAAACAGCAACAGATGAAGAATACACAAGAAACCATTTTCTTTTGTAGAGAGAAGGAGAATTCCTGGATGCAAGGATATTTACTGGAAAGTAACATTGTAAACAGTTTAATGTGTATACTATAAACACTTGTTTTGGTACCAGTGAATATTCCTAGCCCGGAATGAGAAGATATTCCTATACCAAATGACTCTTTAAGTCTCATTGATTCCCATCAACCAGATCTGATGCCTCTCATATGCACTTCGACTACACAGTAACAATATAGCCTTAATATTTTTAGGTCTAGTAGTCAGAACAAATATAACAAATGTAGCATGTGAACTCTAAAATATTCCATGTAATCTAGAATTTAAATCTACACAAGTTTCTGCATGATTAACTGAAGTTCCTTTGTTATCCAGGTTAAAAAACACTTTTTCCAGCAATTTGAATCAAAAGGACAATTCATTACCTACATTATCAAGAGTGCTTTATTTCTTACTTTCAGATTGAGTCACTACCCTCACTCTAATTAAAATAAAGTCAGGATGGGCTTCATTCCTATCTGGACCATAAAGCAAAACTAAAATTGTACATGTAGTTTTTCAAAGCAAGAGATTAAAAACCAAGATATACTGGCACTTCTAAAGGATGCATTAACAAGCTATACTCATTTTAACAATATTCATTGCTACACACTAATAAGTTCAGCAAGTGTACAGGATATTGGATGCAAAAGAGGAGCAATTGCACTATATTCCCAAATAGTTCACAAAAATACCAAGTAATGGCATCATTGGTGAACTGATCTTACTAAAAACTTTTCAAAGCTATTCTATACATCATCCTTTTCAAGATTACAGAAATATTCTGAAACCTTCACACACACACACTTATTAACTTTTTTCTGAACAGTAGCAGTCTTCAAAGCCTCTGTTTAAGTTAAACTTCACATTCCTCTCACACAGAAATCTCCTCCCATGTCATCCTGTCATATTTTCAGCAGCCTGGAAACAGAAAAAAACATTTATTGCAAGTGACCAAGACTACATACTATGTAGATTAATCTCAACACAAAACATAAACCAGTTATGGGACAAACAAGCAAAGGATAGCAACAGGAATGATAAATCAGTAAAAGTAAAACAGTCCTCAATTATATACAGTTAAACACAGCCCTCAATATACACAGTTAAAAATATATGTATGCACACATTTAAGCATGTACACAAATATAAAATATGCATAAGCATGAGTACAGAAAAAGGTTAAGTTAAAAATAAAGTAAGAAATTTGAAAACCAGTGGAAAATAGCCTTAACAGATTTTTGACTAGATGGATGCAGGTTGAATTTTCTAACAATTCGAATGCAGTCTTCCAGAACAGAGATAGGTAGGCTAGATATAGGTTTCCTCTCCACCTCCCCAGAAATAAACAAATACAGGATACAGTGGAAAAGAAATCATGATGTTTAGGTAAATAGTAAAGGATGAAAGTCCTTTAAAAGGCAAGTGAGCACTATTTTTGTAAGCCATAGTTACCCCCTCTACTAGCTAAACCAGTAAATGCTAAATTATGAAAAGCCCTGTATACACACACACCATGAAATCCCCTCTTGTCCGTCTTTGGAGAGATTCAAAGCACAAGTTAATGTGGTAAAAGCAATACGTGAAGATTATATTAGCAAGCTCCATGTATCTGTTTACAAATACTGCTGCACACTAGTAGGCCTGAGGTTGTAGAAATGAGGGGATACAGGTTAAAAGAGAAAGTAGCGATCTATTTGTGATATGATGCAGATAAGGGTGTAAATGGTGGCTACAAACGCCCAGAATAAAAGTCTGTGGGTTTTGATTGTTGTTTTTTTTTTTTCCTTTTCAGAAAGATGACATCTTTTGAAGATTTTATTTGTACAATTTATTGCTTCATGTTCCATTCCGTTGTATTCATTGCCTTTTCTATGGAACAGTTCATTTCCTTGATTTAAAAATGAGTCATATCTTAAAGTACAACTTACAAATTGAAGTATAGCAAGTTGAACACATATCTGACTCTTAAAACCAGATTTATAACCTTTTTAAGCAAAATCATTACCTTTAGAGCTTCTGTAGCCTTACGCAGTTCCTTAATAACAGATGATAATGCTTCTGGATTTATCCCCTGTTCACAAAGCCGCACACAAATAGACAGTGTCTCCATATCCAAGCCAGTGTTTAATATTCTTGAAATCTCAAACAGAACTGCAACAGGAAAAGTAAAAGCACTTTAGTCCCTACAGACTATGAAATTTCAATGATCAAAAGTGTTATTCATCAACACTTAATTTCTACAGTAGAGTCCGTCAACACTACAGTTGTGGAAAGCTCTTGCAGTCTGTACCTCAAGAACAGCGTTCGTGTTCAGCTTTCCAGCACAAGCTAGAAGCCACAGCTTCTAACATAAACACCACGCTTTTCTGGTTCAAACTTAATACTGGATAATGGGTTTTGAAAATTAAAAAATAAGGGAAGAATTCAACAATTAACACACTTGCCAATTATGTAAAAGGTGAGCCTATAAGAATAATCTGTGCTTTTGAACTCCAGGTACCGACAAAGTCCTACTAAAATGGATTGTAAGCACATTCTTAAAGCTTTTACAGAGAGTGCCAGGAGTTTTCTAGCCACCTCCTTCCATAACCAAACCTGGCTTTAGGTCTCACTTTAACACTGGTTTAAGGATAAGCAATACTATTTGATTTTTTTATGTGACCTGAATCAAGAGCCGCACCACATGTCGGGATGAGACCTTTTGGAGAAAGAGATTCCAGTCAGTTTTGTGCAGAAACAAAGATCCCTCTCCCCTCTTCCAAACCTTCCCTGGAGGGCCCCTTTTCTTCAATTCCCATAAACAGTTTGTAACATAAATAACAGAACAACTCACTAATATTTTAGTTCTGCTTGCTACAGTAACCTCCATCCTGAGGCTAAGCACCTAGCAATACAGGTTCATTTGGTACAGATGTTATTCAAGTTTCTGTAATCAAACCTCCTACGAGAAAGTGAAGCAGAAGGTCTTTCTCACCAGGTAAAAGCAGCATGGCAAATAACTACTGTCCACTTAACAGCTATGAAAATATTATACTTCAGCATGCCAAAGACATACTGCAGCACACCCTCAGAGTCACATTTGACCCAGGTCAATACATTAAAGGCCTAATGTGTGCAGTCAATTCCACTGAAATCACAGGGAAGTGTCAGATGCTATGAAAAAACCTCTAGGTGTGGTGCGGGCTTCAGGAGTGTTACAAGTAGATTGGATTAAGAATACGCAAAAGTTTAAGGCACAAAAGCCGTTCGTCAGACCAAAGCCCTACCTACAAGCCACAAGGGAAGCTTCCTTCTCCACAGGAAGGCTTTCCGTTCCTGCTGGCTTGAAAGCAAAACTGTTCCAAAAGCATTGCACACGCACACCCTCTCCACATGAAAGCATCTTCAACAGCCAAATAAAGCAACAAACTGGTGTCTTTGCAATAAAACACCATTGAACATTAAGAGCCATGGAACTGACAAAGAAAGACTGCCAACTTCCCAGAAATAAACAACTCTTACTTGCTTTAACCATTTAAAGTTTATCATAAATTTTATTAAGCATGTGACATATTTGAAGGCTGAGCAGTAAATCTAACTAAAGATAAGTTCCAAACTTCTATGTTAGCAAGAATTGTGCTCACCAGTTTCTAATAGAAAATATCTTTAGGTGTTGACGCAGCATCTTTGGCAGAGAGATGTAGTAGTTTCTCCACAAAAAAAAGAATCTGAGCTCTTACCAACAATTCTGCAGGGAACAGCTGCTAAATATTTGCATCTGACATTCTAGATCAAGCATTTCACTTTTCTAAACTACTGAAGCTATAAAAGAACACTTTTTTAATACCAACACATTTACTTCCATTAGGTGCCTGTGTTAATACACAACATAGATTTCACGTTTTATTTCAAAAGGTCTAAAAAATTATCCTACAAATATTTTTTTCTACTCATTATGACAGGCCTTCAGCAAGAAGAACCTAATTACATGGACACAGCTATCAGTGCTTTACATTTTCGATTACTTCACCAAAACACTCTAAAGAAATATTCTTACAATGGAAATTTCAAAAGATTAATGTTATTTTGAACAGGAAAAAAAAACAGTTTATTTATTGAGTGCAGTATAAGTTCAAACATGATATTTCTAAGACTAAGTAAACCTTTAAAGATTAAGTGTATATTTAAGTTAATGGAAGTTTGTTTTCTTCTAAAAACACCTGACCTCAGGAAAAGATTAAGTTATGAATGTCTGTCCTAAATAAAACATACACATTGTTACGCAGGAAGCCTGGGCTCCTAAATCTGAAGGTCAGTACACTTTCCATAGGAGTTCTCCAAAGCCTTACTTTGTCTTTACATCTGTATACTGTTCCTCTCATCTAAAACATTCCTGCAAAAGTGGAGTGGGTAGGTGTCAAGTACAGTTATGAGAACTTAGAATCATTGTCCTTCCCAAACAGATCCCTTTCCATCTACACACAATGGTCTTATCCTCTTGAAGCATCAGAGCAGCCATAATAATTCCACTAGTCCTGCCTTGCCTTCAGTAGCAGTCAGAATGGGTAGATCTGCAGCTGAAACACTAATTTTTACACCGGTTCAACTCATTAAGGTCTTTGCTAAGGAATTCTTACATAACAGTAGCAATAACTATAATACAAGGGAAGAACACGAGAAAGTAACAAACACAAAGCAATACCCCCTAGCACTCTCCCTAGCCTCTAGTCCCTCATGCGGGCATTTCCAGAGAAAGTCTTCGTATTTAACAACACACAGGGGATTTCCTGGCAGCTTCCCACTCTTCCTGAAATTCATACAAGCCTTTGGCATAGTCATTCCACGAAATTCCAAAGTTTCATATGACACATTGCTAAGAAATCCCTCCTGAACCTGTCAGCTTTGATTCCTCATAGTTAGCCTGGAAGAGGAAGTGAACACCTGATCTTTACTCACCCTGCTCACATTTCTCATGGTTCATAAATCTCTGCAAACATTTCCCACTATTCCTAGTGCCACTTCTCTCACATTCCCCACCCCACAACATCACCAAGTTTCTTGTATCAGAAACTATTCTAATTCTGTAACACTGACTGCCCTTCTCAAAACTTTTTCACTACATTTTTTTTTAACTTACTTTAGTTTTCTGACATGAGCCACCCACAGGACAAGATATTGGGGTTCAGATCAGTTCAGGTGCTGCCACTTACACCTCCACAGGGTTGGTCCTTCCTCTCCCTTCCATGCACTTCCATCCTCCCAGTTTAAATCCAAGATGCACAGAGCCAGGTAACATAATTTGCATTAACCACTTCAAATAATGAGAAAGAATAGCAAATGCACATAAACATTTTAAAAAAGCGTTATTCTAAATTAAATACCTAACAGTTAACTAAAAAAACCAAGAAAAGTTACACGAGGTCCAAAGATAGTAGCATCACATGGATATTTGAAGTGTTTCAGTCGTTACACGTAATAACAAATAAAAAGAAACTCCTATGCGCTAAATCCTTAACCAACTGCGAACCGCAATCCTCCTCACAAGAGAGGCGCTTGTGTTAATGAAGCGCCGGCTCAAGGCCTCGCAGCCTGCGGAGAGGGGCGGGGGCTGGGGCAAGACCACCTCGGAGAGGCCAGAGGCCGACCTGGGGCTGCTGGCGCGGCAGGAGCGGGGCCCG